TAGTTTCCTGGATGTGTTTGCTGTTTTTATTTTCACACTTACTGTAGATTAACAGTACATCCTTAGTGGGTTTAGTCCTCTGGATGTGAGTGGTGTCGTTAGATTTTCCAGTTTTTAGAATGGTACTGTATAGGGGTAAGGCAGGTTTAACAGGCTGCCTAATAGCCTCAAGTTTAGAGAGTTTCTCTTGAATTTGTTTCTGAGATTCGATGATGTCAGTTTTTGAGTCGTTTTCTATTAATTTGTCAAGTTTTGTGGAGATAAGTTGTAAATGTTGTTCAACAGAATTGTTGGAGAAGGCGTCAATCGCCCTTTCGAAGCAGTTGACAATGAATTCCCCATGACAAGGTGTGCCTAGCTTGGCTCTGTTATTATCAGCCATATATTGCTTTAGTTCCTCCAGTATTGAATATGCTTCTAGTTTGGCACGCTCCATGGTATTGATGAGGATTAGTGTAAGAATGAATAGAACGGCCCACTTGCCAACACTTTTTTGATGTTGTAGATCAAGGTAAAGGCCAATAAAAAGTTCAAGAAGTGAAGGATCAGATGAGTTATAACACGAATTAGGGTCAGTTAGGGGGTCTGGGTAGAGCACGTGGCGAGGTCGATGTCCTTTGTTCTTCCGAGGGTTATCAAACGCGATAACTCAAAAAATAATCGACATAAACGAACGAAACTTTGTGTTAATACGTACTTTGAAGCCGTCTATCCGGTGTATAAAATCCTCAGCGGATGGCCTAATGGATCGGCCAAAAATACAACTGGAAGTTGGCCAGAAACAGTCGTAATATACTGCAAAATAAATGACGGAACGTCACGAGGAAAATATCTTATGAACCAGGTTGAAATAGCGAGGAAAAACTTCACGTCGCACTTAAACCCAAAGCGCTAACAGTGGGAGAAACGGTTGTCCAATATCGACCACGTGGTCGCGGGCAGAAGTGAGCCACAACTCGCGAAAAAGATAAACGAATTTAAAAAAGGAAACGGTATATTAAAGCGTGCCTCTTCAGCTTTAAAACGGTATGTGGATGACTTACGAACGAAACGTAGATCAGCAGTAAA